CAGCGCGTATAGACGAAATGTCCAACATCCGAACAGGTCCGTTTTGTGTAGACATGTCAGTCAACATAGAGGAGCAAGTTCTAGAGCCCGCCCTTGGATACACATTGGATGCACCTTGGATCCAGGACAGGTACTCCTGTCCAGGGAATGGAGTCAAGTGCTAGATACTCACGTTCCTGTCCAGAGAATGGAGTCAAGTACTAGATACTCACGTTCCTGTCCAGAGAAAGGGAGTCAAGCTCTGGATACTCACGTACCGATTTCGGTTGATTGGAGTTGGCTGATGGAGATGGGTCGTGCATTGTGAGGTGTACCAACCACAGTGGTGCCGTGTTCGTTTTGCGATGCAGCAGTTCGTTCGTGCTGATGATGTGTGGACGAAGAAGGCTGAGAGGAGTAAGAGGCGATGAATGGTGTTGCCTGTGCAAAGAGCACAACACAAATACAGCAGCTACAGCAAGCGACAACAAAACAACAAACACCAACACCAACAACCTTACAACCAACAAGAGCAACAATACAACCCAAAACAACAACAACCGGACCACCTCCACCACCAACAGACCTGGCGAAAGCGACCGACGACAAGAAACTGATCGAGGAAGAGGAGAAGGTTGGGAGCTTTCGCCGCTGTCAAGTGGGGATGGTAACGCTTAGCTTCTCACGTTTTCTTTTGTTTCAATACGATGGATGAGTAAAGCAATATCAACGTCAATCTCGCCGTCTTAGTGCTACTTCATGGTTTTGTCAATAAGTGAGTAGTAAGGACTGCATGCGTGCGACCTCGGACCACAGCATGCTTGTCCACTTTATTTCGAGTCCTCCGCGAGATACTAGCTTGGACCACAGTACAGCCATTATGTGTGGAGAAGGACGCGCTTGGCTCTAAGGCCTTCTTGCTGTCGTACACCTAGCTCTCACATCTGCAGTGTCACACATGAACGAGCGATAATGACACCTGAAGACGCAGACTATTTCAATCAGCCAACGTCAACTCACTCGGCACAGCATCTTCTCATACGATCGTTTGCTGCGGTTGCGCAATCGAAGAGGAGGTAACATGAATGTTACCCCCCCCCCTCGGTTTGATGCATTCCGGTGCAGCCAAAATTTGGTAAAATGCTGGTGGTGGTGGTGCTTCTGACGGTGGTGCTCCAATTGCAAAAGGTGCCGAGGTTGTGACGCCGGAGGTTTGAGGCCTTCGACACTGCAAAGCGCAGATCATTTGCTTCCTTGCACGATTTTCCCTTGGCCGCTTTTGTGCGAACCATCTGCGTGCGGGTGTGTGCGTGAACTTCAGACAGAAAGAGCAAGAGCCACACAGAAGAAAGTGGCTGTCGAGAAGTTTCGTTTTACCTTTTCCGCACAAAGAACGGATCGTTTTATTTTTCCTTCGAACTTGCAATCCTGTGCGAATCAGCGAGTTTGTTCGGTATTTGCAGCACACATCGCTGCCAAAGCTGCCGAAATGACATGACAGCTCTGAGAGGAGCGCTCAGCATCGAAAGGCAGGACGGACACGACTTCACAACGATGTGACGGCGTCACGTGCAACATCTGGGCGTAGCAGACAAAACGAACAGACCAGTCCTTCATACGGGTTTCCACCGATCTCTATTCGATACACTGCAACACGGCAACACTACAACTTCAACGATGACGCTCATGACATACACATTCCAGGTCAGCATAGTTCCTTCACAAGGTAAGCTAGCCTTTAATGGATGTGATTTTAGTCCAGATCTCATCGCTTTAGTTTATAAGCACAAAGTTGATCCGAAAAAGATGGACTTATCACTTGTTATAGTTTTCATCGCAAATATGGATCATTCAGATTGGAAGATGCGTATGCCAACAAGAATTGATTATAAAAACATTTGGAGGAAAGCTATCTGCGTACGCCGCCACAGTATACCCTATGATAAAATGACTACCGGCGTTAGTCGATTTGTCTGCTATTGGTGAATACTCGCTCGAGTGAAATCCTTCATGTCGGGCATGTCCAACATTTCACCGAAACTAGGCGTTGAAACGTGAGGTAGCCCCATTCCATGATACCGTTCGGTCAGTTCTTAGGGAAGCATACAGCATCTTGTAGACAACTTCACGTCGACAGCGACTCGATCTGCAGATCTAGTGGACTTTGTTCCGTCAAAAGGCTACCTGAAAGCAAGCTTTTTATATTCAGGCTTCCACATCACTTCATAAATAATCAGCGTATCTTGCCATGTCGCTAAATGTTTATTATCTATATAATGAAAATGCTGTCGAAAGTCAGTTTTTTTTGGCAGGCTCAGCCGGTACGTTAGATGTGCGAACGACCTGTGGACGCCTTCTTCTATTCGGACTGCACATCATTAAACGTTCGAGACTGACATCCCACGCGGCGGTCACTGTTTTATCCCGATACTTTCGATCTCAACCAGTCCAAATAGCCCTTACCATTCGTTTGGGAGGATCATGATCCTCAGAGGACATATTCGGCAGGACCGAGGTTTCTAAGTGGTATAATATGGCGAGTGTGCCACACATTTGTCAAAAGATCTGGCCTGTGTCTTAAAGTCATCTATGCCCTCTCCAATTACCGTAAAGGTAGTTGCGTACTCATAGAGAACAATAGACAAATCGAATTTGGGCTGCCCTCTCACATTGTTCGATGACACTGATGAGATATTGTACTAATTCAGTTTTACTATATGCATCCGACCTCCAATGGGGTAAAAGAGGACAAAATTCAAACTGCCCTTGCCGTCGATAGCGTACATGACCTTTTCGGCAGCAATAATCAGGAAAATTCTGTAGACGTTTTATAAATTCAGGGTCGCACCCCTATCACAAAGGCCACCGATAAAGGTTCATAATACCCATCGCACACATTAATCAATATATGATACCGATACTGCTCATTCCAGCTACCTGTTTTACATCTCTATAAAAGTACAACGATCGAAGTAAGTAGGGTAGCTCCCATCTTGGCTTATGATACATGTAGCAAAAACAATGTCGGATCGCGCACACAACGTAGGACATCAATGGTCCCATTTAATAGTTAAAATTTAGTGTCTTATCCGTCAAAGTCTTTCGTTATCTTTCGATATCTTGCTAATTTTCTTGCCTTCTTTCTCATTAGGTTACACTGCCATGCGCTGCAACAACGTTGACATGCATTAAGTCTTGTTTCATATAGTACTCATTAGGATTGTTCTAATATTAACTTGCTTAAACTGACCATATAAACAATTATATTATGTTCATTTAATATCATGATCTTACAAGTGACAAGAGACTTACTGTCATCATGACTGACCTCCACCAGTATATTCGCTACCGCCTTGTTCTCGACATAAAAAACGCATGAGCATAGCTACCGCGCTACTTTGAAAATAACTAAATGTACGCCCAAAATATTCGGCCTTTTTAATATAGTCGAAAGAGGTACTATCCAAAAAGCACTTGTTAAGTTAAAAGAATACATTTAACCGTCATAAAGATTAAAAATCTCCGAGTAAAGTTGGTATAACGAGATCGTACGCCAAAAAAAATGAATATTGCTTGCGTTTTTCCACATCAAATTTTGATGCGACTTTCGCCTTATTCAATCCCATGCTACCAAAAATGCCTGCATAAGCTCATCAAGTGTGATAATCAACACTCCAGTGAACTCACACTATCGGGTGGACGCTGAAGCTTCACGCGCTTATAAGGATTGTTGACATAGTGTATGCCAACTAGAAAGGATACGGACGCCTTATCAGAACCCTCATTCTTGTCATCAGACTTCAGCGGTCCCGTCCAATAAGTCGGCCGGCTTGTCAATCGACAGATATTACCATATAAAAATATATTATATTGTCCTTTACACAATAACTGACCATCGCCACTGGCGACGGTACGCCGAACAACGGCTGTCGGATGCGTACCTCAACTATGCATGCGCTACGAGGCTTATCGATGGACCCACACGCATGATTTGGCTTTTTACGTATCCGCTCACTTTGCATCCAAACCAGCTGCTGTGCTTATCGTTCGTCTTTTTCGCTCTATTCAAGAATTACCACACCAAAACAATGATGCAATGACCGCAGGCGGCTTAGGAAAACCCGAAAGCTTCAGAAGCCTGGGTCTAAATATGGACCTAGATCTGGCCATCCTGGTGCTGATCGCATAGCCCGTCTACCATTTGCAATATGCTGGAGCTCCGGAAGAAAGTATGCACGTGAAAAGGACAAGTGCCTTTCGTTAGACAGTCATCCGAGGCCGTGGGTACGAGTTGGTACAACTAAGGCACGACACAACAGATGGAAAGCATTCGTAGGGCACATGATGACTTGCCCGCCTAGTTGCGTGGTCAGCCCCTCGCGACTGTGCTACTGTAGATGCCACCTGCTTTTTGTGCACATCCAAGTCGCGAATAGAATTCCGCAGGCTCGAGGAAAAAGCGGCATGAAATGCACACAAGCAGCGCCGACTAGTGCCGGGGAATAGCGTACCAACACGTAATCGAGCGTGAAAGATCTGCAGGCGCTTACTATCCCGTCCTATATGCTGCTATGCTACTCTTACATCTAGTGTCGGAATGTTTTAGAGGCGAATGGTTCTCGGTCCATTGGCGACGCCGTGAGCCGGCATCTGCTCGTGAGAGTGGATGTAAGCTCTCACGGATGTGTACGTTTCATCTGTGCTTGTCGTCTTTTCGGATCTGTTGCAGAATCTAACACCCGTCAGTACAACAGCAAGTTGTGCGCACGTCAGCAGCCGAACCTTCGGAACGTACTCGATGGCTGAAACTTCATAGGAGGCGGCGGCACTATGTTCTTCGGTTCCACGTGGTTCGATCACTGATGCTCTATCTAGACACGGGAAGAACTCCAGCAGCGATCACTAAAATTCACCTACACGCTCGTCACTCATTGCTCCATTCACGCTCTTCGCAGCAAGCATAGAACCGATCGACCGACTACGAACATCCTTTGCTGATCGACAGAACATACGTGCAAACCATGGTGAATGTCGTTTCACTCGCCGCACTGGCGCTTGCCACGACGATTGCCGTCGCTTTGGGTGACTCGATACCTGCCGTGTCTTTGGGTGACTCGGTACCTGTCGTGTCTTTGAATGCCTCCATGCGTGCCGTGTCTTTGAGTGCCTCCATTCGTGCCGAGGTGGCTCCTATGCCGAATGGAGCATGGCCCACAAGCCAAGGCGATGTATACTTCGAAGAGCCCTATACGGTCAAGAAGGGCGAGGTATACGATGGCGAGATGAAGACGTACCAGCTCTCGAACGTCAAGTGCCGTGGCGACACGGAGAGTGGCTGGCAAAACGCCGTCTTCGTTGTCGAGGCCGGCGGTACACTCAAGAACGCGATCATTGGTACGGATCAAATGGAGGGATCGCACTGCGACGATGGTGATTGCCTTTACGAAAACGTGTGGTGGGATGACGTGTGCGAGGACGCGCTGAGCATCAAGGGCGGTTCAGAAAGAAGCGTGACGAGAGTGATTGGCGGAGGTGCGCGCTCAGCCAGCGACAAGGTGGTGCAGCACAACGGCTACGGTTCTTTGTTCATTGAGGGGTTCTATGTGGAGAACTACAGTCAATTCTACCGCTCATGCGGCAATTGTGGCAACAAGGATGTCAAGATCAGCATCAAGAACTTGTTTGTCGTCGACGGTCGCGTGAGAATCGTGACGCAGAACAAGGGCGACGAGGTCACGATCAAGAACGTCAAGATCAAGGGCAACAAGGTCGAAGTGTGTTCGGTCGGCACGGGCGCTTCGCGCACGCCCTGCCGCTACTCGCCTAGTAACGTCACGTATGTGTGAAGCAAAAGTGCTTGCGATGTGTATGTCATTAGCGTTACCATTGATGTTTTGTAGTGTTGTTTCATCGTATCCAATAGAGATTCGGTGGAAACCCGTATGTATGCCTGGTATGTTCTTTTTGTCTGCGACGGCGAGGTTTCGTGCGCAAATTGATGCGTCTTCGTGGGGTAGTGCGAGAAGTGCTCGTTTCTAGGTGAAGCAATCCTTTCAAAATCTTTGTAAGCATGTGTATCGCGAATGACAAACGGAGCAATCAACAGCACGTTGTAAGCATTCAGCGGACTCGTCTATGAGTATAAAAGGTAACCATTCGAATGTGAAACGTCTGACATGTAACGAGTCTAATCTACACGGTCCAAAATGAACCGGTTCTTTTGCAAAATAGACGGTTCGGACATGAACGAAAAGTTGCACAAGCAGGAAGTGTTGACAAGGAGGGCCGCTCAGTAGTTGCGGGAAAGTAAACATGGCGATTGGATGCACTAGAGACAACACGGGGCAGTAGGAAAACGGGTGCAGCATTTAAACTTATACCAATCTCACTTCGGTATTTGCCTCCAACGACCAACTAGAAACCAACGGGAAGTTTGAGGATAGCTCATGTTGTGATTTTGGCGCAGTATTCGATTGTTTTTTCCCGATGGGGGAGTATAAACTTTATCCACACAGAGCATAGGCTTCTACTAATTTCGATGAGGATCACAAATCACAGCATTGTAAAAACTACATTTACGTGTTCTCATTCGTTTTCTGAAGACAGCTAAAAAGAGCTACAGTGTGTACAACTTCAGGCACATACATTCATGTGGTGATGAGGACCATTTTCAATGATGCATGCGTACGACATTCTGTTAACAGTTCAATACCCGTTTCAAACAAAAAACCGACAAGAAGCTCGAATCGTGTGACATGCATTTGGCTTGTACGCGCATCCGTTTGGCAGGTGATAAACGCCGTTTGCCATTTACCATTTCTTTACAAAGTCGCATACAACTTGACTTGCTACAAAAAATTATCACTGAACTGTGAACAGTGCTGCTAAATGATACCGAGCGTCCAATGGCACGGGGTGCATGTCATTGTGTTGTATCTAGAAATTCGACAGCTTCCACTTACTTACACATGTGATCATGCGCTGTTTTTAGTAGGGTCGGTATAAATCATTCGTCTGATGTTGCGACGAATTGCCACCTTCGTCTTCAGCGTCGGCATACACATCCTTTGCTACTTAAATAGCTACATTTAGGTGCGCTCTAGAGGGTGCGGTTTTGATCGTGCCACGCGCCGGGCGTTTTCAGTTCTCGGTTTCGGCATGCCACATGGATCAGGCTGTTACTTCTCACATCTATGCATCCACAGCGGAGGATCATGCACTGTCGAAGGTGTTATGCTTCGACAGGTTATTCTTGACGAGAGGCCGTACGCTAAGTAATGGGGTCCCCAAGTAGTACTGAAGAGCAGTATGTGTCAGACTTTTTTTGTTAGGACTTTCCTTGGTCACACAGGGAGTCGAAATGCAGTCGCTGGACTAGACCGGTTGCTCCTTACCCGATGCACCGGTACCCCCTTACCATACCTACGTTGAACATTATCATGCCTGTCATACTACTGTATATGCGTGCCTTCATTCCAAAAGTTATCGCTTGACAACAATTGTGATCGATCGACTAAACATCGCGAATGTCGAATGGACAAATAAGTTTTACATATCAACGTCTGTAAAAATGGCGCTTTCACATCGAGAGTTGCTCGCTTCAGGCGTCGTTTCTTACCGAGGCAAAATACGGGAACATTTCGAAATCCGAGATCGAACGCTGTTCTGAAGTTGTGAAAGATGCGATAGTCCTATTTTTTATCTGATTCCTTCTACCTCCACGGGAGCGTTTTTCATCTTTTCTCCTATTCCACACCGAATGTGCTAGCAAACCAAACGAAACTGTTCAAACGACGAAGTTATCGCAATGTGTGTCGATGAATCAGTGAAGCGACGTGTTACTCGTGCTGAACACTTGTGGCTCGAAGGAACCAACGGCGTAAAAACAAGTACCCGTACTTCTTGTGCTGGTTTATACCACGCACCCACTGACCATCGCCACTGGCGACGGTACGCCGAACAACGGCTGTCGGATGCGTACCTCAACTATGCATGCGCTACGAGGCTTATCGATGGACCCACACGCATGATTTGGCTTTTTACGTATCCGCTCACTTTGCATCCAAACCAGCTGCTGTGCTTATCGTTCGTCTTTTTCGCTCTATTCAAGAATTACCACACCAAAACAATGATGCAATGACCGCAGGCGGCTTAGGAAAACCCGAAAGCTTCAGAAGCCTGGGTCTAAATATGGACCTAGATCTGGCCATCCTGGTGCTGATCGCATAGCCCGTCTACCATTTGCAATATGCTGGAGCTCCGGAAGAAAGTATGCACGTGAAAAGGACAAGTGCCTTTCGTTAGACAGTCATCCGAGGCCGTGGGTACGAGTTGGTACAACTAAGGCACGACACAACAGATGGAAAGCATTCGTAGGGCACATGATGACTTGCCCGCCTAGTTGCGTGGTCAGCCCCTCGCGACTGTGCTACTGTAGATGCCACCTGCTTTTTGTGCACATCCAAGTCGCGAATAGAATTCCGCAGGCTCGAGGAAAAAGCGGCATGAAATGCACACAAGCAGCGCCGACTAGTGCCGGGGAATAGCGTACCAACACGTAATCGAGCGTGAAAGATCTGCAGGCGCTTACTATCCCGTCCTATATGCTGCTATGCTACTCTTACATCTAGTGTCGGAATGTTTTAGAGGCGAATGGTTCTCGGTCCATTGGCGACGCCGTGAGCCGGCATCTGCTCGTGAGAGTGGATGTAAGCTCTCACGGATGTGTACGTTTCATCTGTGCTTGTCGTCTTTTCGGATCTGTTGCAGAATCTAACACCCGTCAGTACAACAGCAAGTTGTGCGCACGTCAGCAGCCGAACCTTCGGAACGTACTCGATGGCTGAAACTTCATAGGAGGCGGCGGCACTATGTTCTTCGGTTCCACGTGGTTCGCTCACTGATGCTCTATCTAGACACGGGAAGAACTCCAGCAGCGATCACTGAAATTCACCTACACGCTCGTCACTCATTGCTCCATTCACGCTCTTCGCAGCAAGCATAGAACCGATCGACCGACTACGAACATCCTTTGCTGATCGACAGAACATACGTGCAAACCATGGTGAATGTCGTTTCACTCGCCGCACTGGCGCTTGCCACGACGATTGCCGTCGCTTTGGGTGACTCGATACCTGCCGTGTCTTTGGGTGACTCGGTACCTGTCGTGTCTTTGAATGCCTCCATGCGTGCCGTGTCTTTGAGTGCCTCCATTCGTGCCGAGGTGGCTCCTATGCCGAATGGAGCATGGCCCACAAGCCAAGGCGATGTATACTTCGAAGAGCCCTATACGGTCAAGAAGGGCGAGGTATACGATGGCGAGATGAAGACGTACCAGCTCTCGAACGTCAAGTGCCGTGGCGACACGGAGAGTGGCTGGCAAAACGCCGTCTTCGTTGTCGAGGCCGGCGGTACACTCAAGAACGCGATCATTGGTACGGATCAAATGGAGGGATCGCACTGCGACGATGGTGATTGCCTTTACGAAAACGTGTGGTGGGATGACGTGTGCGAGGACGCGCTGAGCATCAAGGGCGGTTCAGAAAGAAGCGTGACGAGAGTGATTGGCGGAGGTGCGCGCTCAGCCAGCGACAAGGTGGTGCAGCACAACGGCTACGGTTCTTTGTTCATTGAGGGGTTCTATGTGGAGAACTACAGTCAATTCTACCGCTCATGCGGCAATTGTGGCAACAAGGATGTCAAGATCAGCATCAAGAACTTGTTTGCCGTCGACGGTCGCGTGAGAATCGTGACGCAGAACAAGGGCGACGAGGTCACGATCAAGAACGTCAAGATCAAGGGCAACAAGGTCGAAGTGTGTTCGGTCGGCACGGGCGCTTCGCGCACGCCCTGCCGCTACTCGCCTAGTAACGTCACGTATGTGTGAAGCAAAAGTGCTTGCGATGTGTATGTCATTAGCGTTACCATTGATGTTTTGTAGTGTTGTTTCATCGTATCCAATAGAGATTCGGTGGAAACCCGTATGTATGCCTGGTATGTTCTTTTTGTCTGCGACGGCGAGGTTTCGTGCGCAAATCGATGCGTCTTCGTGGGGTAGTGCGAGAAGTGCTCGTTTCTAGGTGAAGCAATCCTTTCAAAATCTTTGTAAGCATGTATATCGCGAATGACAAACGGAGCAATCAACAGCACGTTGTAAGCATTCAGCGGACCTGCATCTCATGCTCAAATATTTCCCCGAATAAGATCTAAGCAGATACCGTTCGAGGTGTCATGCAGTATGAACAGCTGTTTGTATTAATGTCCTCTACGTCGTTCTGCATTTTGCCTTACTTTAAGTAAGAATTTGACGCCGTAGGTGCCTTCACTTTGCATTGAGAAATGCAGCTGTATGGGGCTTCTATATACTCTCACGACCAGACTAATGTCCAAAGTAAATTGTGTGACACACTCGTTAACTTATTGCCACCCGTGAACCCACAACGGGCGGATCAGGCCCATCGAAGAAGGATGAACCTCCACAAACGAATCGTGGGAATTATCGAACTAGTTGGCATCCAGAATATCTGGCTGAAAAATAGCGCCCATCGCGTTGGACGTCAGCCACGACCGGTAATCGATGTGCAGGACATACCGAAGAGGGCAATACCAAGTCGTTCGCGCAATATTTATTCCGGCTGTACCTGCGAGAAATATAATTGTTGACGCTATGGTTACATCAGCTGAGCCCATTCTTGGTTACGTATAAATGAGCAGTATAATATCTAAATACGACACATGATTAAGCTTGAGATCCTGCACTAATAAATAAATTTTTCTGCACGCTACTGTTCATCGGTTGCTTATTATATTACGGAATGCATTCTAGAACGAAATCTGCTCGTATCTT